ATCCCCACACAAGTTGAGACCTTCAGCATCTCTGTTGCGTCCTCCTATAGTCGATCCGTCCTATCACACTCTGGAACCAAGTCGTCCACTCAATCCTCCGGTTGCTCCAAACCCTGTCATTCCTGTCGTCCAACCGAAACTAGTACCTTCTCAACAGGACACTTCGGTCCACACACCACATCCGGACTCCTCTGACTTCATGGAAGAGGACTCAGATACAGAAACTTCTGAGGCTCATACCTCGCCTGACCATACATCTCCCAACCAAGATGTTGCGGAGGACTTACCTGTATCTCCATCGGACAACCTTACCTCTTACACTGATCTAGTCAAAAGAATGGCCCACTCTTTAGGTCTCTCTGTCGTCCAGCAACATCCGCAGGCAACAGATTCTGTTTACGACATAGTTCAGCGCGATACCTCGTCCACCTTGGCATTGCCCATGTCCTCAGTACTACTGCAGGCAGCAAAATCACCATGGCTAAAACCTTCGTCCGCTCCTGTGCCCACAAGGAGATTGGATCGTATGTACACAGTCCAAGAGTCAGATGCCGGATTCCTCTTCTCCCACCCACAGCCTAACTCATGATAACCTCCTCCTCCAAATCTAAAAGAACACATTCCTCTCCTTCGGATAAGGAGAGTAAGAAATTGGATGCCTTTGGCAGGCGTTTCTACTCTACAGGAGCATTAGGAGTCAAGGCCTCTAACTATCTGGCCTGTATGAACCGATATCAGTATACTCTCTGGGAACGGTTCTCAGAACTTCTTACCTACCTCCCAGACGACAAACTTCAGGCAGCCAGAGTCATCCAAAAAGAAGGCATTGTGTTGGCAAAACAACAGCTCAACACTAGCAAACATGTCCTCGAAGCATCTTCACGAACAATGCCTTCTGCAATAGCTCTCAGACGACAGTCCTGGCTTCACAACACTAACCTCCCATTAGACACTATGTCTTATGTGGAAGACCTTCCCTTCGATGGCCTGGGTATCTTTAATGCCACTACTGATTCTACTTTGCAGGAGTTGGATAAGAGTATAAAGGCATCTCGAGCTCTAGGGGTCTCGTTGTCTGCAAGACAACAATATCGTCCTCGCACCTGGTCGAGGTCCTGGCAGAGGCATACCCCAACTCATCAGTCTCCAGACACACGATGGAGTCCAAGAATGTCCTTGGGAGGCCAAAAACCTGCCTTCCAGAAACCAAAATTCGGCTCCGGACAACAAGCTTCCCGCACCAAACAGTCCAAACCCTCCAAACAGGGTTTTTTACTTCCCTGTCACCGAGTCAGCTCCTACCCGTCTGTTTCCCTTTCTTCACACTTGGCATCGCGTCACCTCGGACAAGTGGGTGCTCTCCATTTTGACCAGAGGTTACAAAATTCAGTTCCTTCAGAACCCCAATACCCCTGTCGTCGTCTCCATGCCCCCTTCCCCACCTCTCCTCGAGGAGGTGTCCATCCTTCTGCAGAAGGGAGCCATCGAACGTGTACCACCACACCTCCAGGGGACGGGATTTTATTCCTGATACTTCACAGTCCTGAAGAGAGACGGAGGCATTTGACCCATATTAGATCTCAGGGAACTGAATCGTTTTGTGACCTACCACCGCTTCCGCATGGTGTCCCTACAACAGATCATGCCATTGCTTCGCAGACACATCTGGATGGCCACCCTTGACCTCCAAGACACATATTTCCACCTTACCATCCACCCCTTCCACCGCCAATACCTACGCTTTGCGATTGGTCAACAGCATTACCAGTACACAGCCCTTCTGTTCGGCCTGTCCAGCGCCCCCAGGGTCTTCACAAAAACTATGATTGTGGTTGCAGCTTTCCTCCGTCTCCAGGGTATCTCCATCTACCCATATATATACGATTGGCTTCTGGTAGCACCTTCCAGGAATGCCCTAGTCTACAATGTCACAGAAACTCTAGCACTGCTGGACAATCTCGGCCTGCTAGTCAATCGGCAAAAGTCCCAATTGTGTCCGGTCCAGCGCATATAGTACATTGGTGCAATACTGGATTCTCAGACATGCATGGCTTACCTGCCCCATGACAGGGCAACAAATATCATCTCCTTAGCTACTGTCGTCCATACCCAAACCTCTGTCACTGCCTTCCAAATTCAGAGGCTGCTTGGCTTGATGGCTGCAACTACATCAGTTCTCGTCTTTGCAAGACTAAAAATGTGCCCTTTACAACTCTGGTTCATCCGCAATTACGACCTGTCGAAACACACACACACTGTCGTCCTATCCCCTCCACCCAGCATACAGGACTCTTTACTTTGGTGGACTCTCCCTTTGAATATCCTCCAGGGAGCACCCCTCCGCCCTCCGTCGCCCGAGGTCACTATAACGACGGATGCTTCCCTGACAGGATGGGGTGCACACTCCAGGGGCCTCTCTGTTGGAGACAAATGGGACGCACGGATGAGGAAGTGTCACATAAACTTCCTAGAACTGCTGGCTATACGACATGCTGTAGCCAGCTTCCTACCGTTGATCAAGGGAAAATGTGACATGGTCCTCACGGACAACACCACAGCGCTTTCCTATGTCAACAGGGAGGCACAATGTCCCTTCGCCTATACAACCTTGCCATCCAATTGTGGGACTTATGCATCGCCAACAATATATTCCTTGTGGCCACTCACATTCCCGGTCACATGAACGTGCAGGCAGACCACCTAAGTCGAGCGGGACTCAGCCTCCACGAGTGGGGGATGAACCCAACATACCTCCTCCCACTCTTCCACAAGTGGGGAGTTCCTCAAGTCGATGTCTTTGCCACAAGAAACAACAAAAAGTGTCCTTTATTCTGCAGTCGAGGAGGCAAAGACCCACAATCTCTCAGAGACGGCCTCCTTTACCCTTGGTCTTTGGGACTCCTTTACCTGTTCCCCCCCTTACCTCTGCTTCTGAGAGTGGTCCGCAAGATTCTCAACGATGCCGCTGACTGTATCGTCATAACTCCATGGTGGCCAAGACAACCTTGGTTTTCAACAGTCCTTGAGCTATCACAGGGAACTTACCATCAATTCCCTCCGGCTCGGGACCTCCTCCCCGACTCCCCCGTCCTACATCACGACATTCCACAGCTGAAATTGACAGCATGGAGGATAATACACCGGCTTCTCCACCCGTGTAAGGAACGTCCTGTTCAATTCCAGGAAACCCACTACGCGGAGGTCCTACGATTATAAATGGCTTAGGTTCTGTTCTTCGCTTGGAGATGACGCCCCTCGAGCCACCTCTGTGGGTCTCGAAAGAGTCTTCCAATTCCTCCTCACCCTAGCTGACTTGGGACTTTCCCATTCATCATTACAAGTTTATTTGGCCGCCCTTTCAGCCTACCATGTTCTAGTTGACGGATGCACTTTGTTTTCCCATCCGATTTCAAAACGTTTTTTAAAAGGTTTGTTACACCTCTACCCTCCTGTCAAAGCTCCAGTCGCTCTTTGGGACCTTCCCCTCATTTTTCGCCAGCTTACGCGGAAGCCATTTGAGCCGCTTGCAACATGCGACCTTAAATTCCTGGCATGGAAAACAGCCTTTTTCATTGCCATTACCTCAGCTAGGTGAGTGGGAGAAATGTTGGCCTTCTGTCATGATACCCCTTTCCTGTCATTCCTGCCAGACGGAGTCCGCCTCGTCCTGGACATCTCCTTCCTGACTTCTTCCAAATCCATCATCAGCGGAAGACAAGTTATTACACACTTTAGACGTGAAATGCGCTCTCCTGTTCTACGTCAACAGAACACTCCCAACTAGACAAGACTCTCAACTATTCGTCTCGTACCCTTCGGCACGACGGCCCAGCACCTGTCAAAGTGGATTGTAGGTCTAATCCATCTCTGTTACCTACTCGCTAAACAGCCATTGCCTGGCCCTATCAGGGCTCATTCTACCGCGACTTCCACTGCCTTCCTTCAGGGAGTACCCTTACCGGACATTTGTAAAGCCGCTACCTGGGCTACACCTAACACCTTCATCAGGCACTACGCCCTAGACATCCGGAAGAACTCTTAATACCAACATGGGACATCGCATTCTACCTGTAGCTACGCAGTAAAAGACCTGCCAACACCCTCCTCCAAGTAGGCTACTGCTTGCTAATCTCCCATGGGTGTGAAGCACAGAGACCACGTCGAAGATAAGCAGGTTGCTTTCCAGTAACTGGTGACCTTCGAGTGGTCATCTGTGCATTCACACCACCCGCCCTCCTTCCCCGCTGCTGTCAGCTTCTACATTTTTGAATAGGGGTTGATTTGCGGCGGTTTGTAGGAACTGGCGGGATGAAGAAGAGAAGAGATTGGATTTATACCCCGCCCTTCACTTGGAGTCTCAGAGCAGCTTACAAACTCCTTTCCCTTCCCCTCCCCACAACAGACACCCTGTGAGGTGGGTGGGGCTGAGAGAACTCTGACACAAACTGCTCTTTTTCAAGGACAGCTGTGCCAGAGCTTGTGACTGACCCAAGGTCATATCAGCAGGTGCAAGTGGAGGAGTGGGGAATCAAACCCGGTTCTCCCAGATTAGAGTCCGCACACTTAACCACTACACCAAACTGATGTCCACGCCCACCCCTCTGGGCATGCGCGGTGGGGTTCCTGCGCATGCCCGAGGGACTGGGCGCGAAAATACGTTAAAAGAGCTTGCTACAGCACCGATCGATCCAGCGCGTGCACACTAGATCCCATGGGTGTGAATGCACAGATGACCACTTGAAGATCACCAGTTACTGGTAAGCAACCTGCTTTTAATAACTTTTTAACTGATACGTCATTGAAACAAAGTAAGACAGTTAATGTAGGGGTAGGAGTTCCTGTTTCATAAAACATATTTTGCTTTGATGTCTGTGATTCTTTTTGGCTTAAATGAACATCCTGAACAGACTGTTGTAATTTTGTTGTGCATCTGAAGATGAGTTCAGTTTTAAGCAGTGGATTGGAAGATTGGGCTTTATAATTCTGTTTTCTTTTTGCAGGGATGAATTGTAAAAGCTACGTCACCTGACCCAAACGTTGTGTTAACAGTGGACTGCTCATCTCCAATTCTAAAAAAGCTTTTTCAAAACCAACAGCAGTGCAGCTTGTTTTGGACTTTGTTACGCTGTTATCAGCATGGAAAAGTGTGTTGTTCTTTAATTTTATTTTGTAGTGATTTATTGCAAGTTTGGTAAACAACTGATGGAAAGTTTAAATTTGGGTAATGTTTCTTTTCAACATGCCCTTATTTTCACCTGTTTAAAGAAATGAAGGATATCTGCAAATAGACCTGCAATTGGCTACCTTTGCATTTTTGATTGGGAAGCATTTTTGAACACTTGTTTCAGCTCCAGTGTTCCTCCATCCAACTGCTTATCTGCACTTTCTGACACTACATGTGCACTCAAAGATTCTTTGTGTTCAGCCGTCTCTTAGATGCTACTAAAGTGAGATGAACTTCCTCTTTAAAGCTTTCAACGTGGTGTCATAGATTAGCATGTAGTATACACAATCAGCTGCTTTTCCCTTTAAATACCAGACATGTATATAAACTTCAGGGCAACAGAAGTGACAGTTCTTGATGTATAGTTTGCTGTTCAGGATGGACATAACTGACATAGTTTACCCTTTCCTTAACTTTTAGATTAATTTAGTGATTCATAGTCCAGTCTTGTTTTCTAGCTGACTTGCAGAACTGATGTATCTGAGTTTAATATAACCAATACTGTGTAAGCTATGTCCTAATCATTGAACAGATTATGCAGTGCTGCTTTGCCAAATAAAATTAAAACCAAAAACCAAAAAGGAGTTTCAAGTGTTGCTTCACTGGGGAAATATCTGGGTAGCTGAGCATTGTCACAGATTTTTACGGATGATTATTTTTCAGAGAAGTGGAAGCACTCACTGTCCTCATTGGGTTATGCAAGAAAAATATTTCTTCTGTTGTGTTTCTATAATGTCTTAGGAAGTACCTGTTAAAATCCAAAGCATCTGCTGAACAATTACTATTTATTTTATAGGGTTTGTGATTTATTTATAGACATCTTCCCCTCCCCCTGGCTGCCTTTATAATTCTGTCATCATTTCTCAAGGGCTTCATTTATTATAGTTCAATAAAAGGTGATTGCATAACAACTCCTACTGTAGGAACATGAGAATTCATGTAGTCTTTTAAAAAGAAACAACAATACTGTAGAAACAACAATACTGTAAGGCTATGCCTTTATCACAACAATGATCTACCATTTTGAAACTTTTCTTTAAAATTTATTTGTCAAACCGTGTCTACCAAATGCATTTGAGCATTTGTCGTACTACTATTGCACAACACTTCTCCGAAAAATTGTCAGTTCATGTGGCTCTGTTATATCATTTTTCAAAGTATCCAAATATACTCTAAGTTAAAATAGAGATGCTATTAGTACAGAACTGCACTGATGGCATTTTCATGATGCTTTAAAATATTCAAAGTACTTAATATATCATGTTATATTTAATGTAATACTTACATTACATTAAGTACATACTTAATATAAGGTACATAAGTGAGGCTGTGAGCATGAGTGATGGCTTCTCCAGGAGTTTTTAACTCCCTCCCAAGACTTACCCTGGCCATTTTTAAAAAATTGGTGGTTTAATTTCTGACCCTGTATGCTTTGCGGTTTATTCTCAAGGCTCAAGAAGGAAGTAAGTGCCAGGAAGCACACTGGTGGGCACTCTCACAGCCCCAGGACCCATGTTAAGGATCACTGCCTGAAAGTGGTTATGTGAACGGCAACTGTTACCTGATCTCAGGGCAATATTTTTTTCTCGGGGAAACAAAGCAACACACCTCTTCAGACTGCAGAGGAGATTAATTTCCTATATGGAGATAAATAGGTAGGATAGCAATAACAATTTGGCCACCTGCCAAGAAGAGGAAAGCTAGATGGCTATTGCGATACCCTGTGTTGCGCCATAAAGGTTTTTGCACATACACCCCAATTCGTTTGGAGAAAAGGTACAAAGCAGTGTGCATGGGACCTGTTGGAATAGACGATGTCTGGTGTACAAAGGAGAAGAGAAGACTCTGGTGTACAAGGGAGCAGCAAGAAGACAGATAGGATATTGAAGATAGCACCTTCTCTCTCCTGTTAAGTGTAATGGTTAAGTGTGCGGACTTTAATCTGGGAGCACTGGGTTTGATTCCCCATGCCTCCACGTGCAGCTGCTGGATGACCTTGGGAAGCCATAGTTCTGTCAGAGCTGTTCTTGAAAGAGCAGTTCTCAAATGAGCTCTCTCAGCCCCACCTACCTCACAGGGTGTCTGTTGTGGGGAGGGGAAGGGAAAGGAGTTTGTAAGCCGCTCTGAGACTCCGAGTGAAGGTATAAATCCATTCTCCCCTTCACTCTTTGTCTGTCTACAGATTGCTACTCTTAACAACAGTTTCCCACTTCTTCTCAGAAATGTTTCACCTTGGGCTCCAGTCTCAGCTAGAGATGTAGTCAGGAACCTATCTCTCCTCTTTCCTATCAAGCATGTTAGTGCCTAAAAAACCCTTTACCTACTCTTTAATAATCAGGTTGTGCCCCTTAATTACTCTGCCAATAGGACCCACTCCCAGTTAAAGTGAAACTTTCCCACCTGAGATAGGAAGGGGGGAAAGGTCTGGACACCCTGTCAGAAGTATGCAAGCCAAGGACCAGGGAACAATGTAGTGAAGTCTGTCTTGAACAGCCTCTGTTTTCAAAGTTCCTGCAGGGCTGCATCAATTCCAGGGAAGGGAATGCCAAGGTAACACCATTGACTGCACAACTTAGTCTCATATGTATAATTTCTTGGTTCTGTTACACACTGTAGTGTTCTGATACAATTTCCCATTGCTTTTCTGCTGCAGTGAACTGAGATTGTAGTTTAGTAAATAAAGATCTTTTCCCTTTAAAGATCTCAGACTGTGGTTAAAGTTCTCACCCAGGCTCATCCTGAGACTGCTCATCCACAAAACAGGCTAGAAACTCCTGACTGGGCTACAGACAGCTGGCCAGGGGGAGCCTGTGTGTGAAGCAGTACAGGCACACAAACACACACACACACGTGCCCATAGCCCCATCTTTTCCTGAGGCTGCTTTAAGTGATGGGAGCTTCTGAAGAAAGAGTGAGATGGGAAGAAGTAGGGCTCACTCCACACTCAGATTCCCCTCTACCTCTTAAGCAAGGACAGCAGGAAGGAAGGGGAGTCATTTTACAGGCACTAGCAAGGACAGCTTTATTATGCATGTGTACAAAAAATAACGTGATGGAAAGAAAAACAAAGGCCCGTTCATTTACAGTGGTATTGCTCATTGTATCAACATTGTATCAGAAGAAGTGTGCGTGCACATGAAAGCTTATACCTTGAATTTAAAAAACGGTCTTAAAGGTGCCACTGTACTCAAACTTTGTTCTGCACCATCACTGGTTACTGCCAGTTCTCACAGAAGAATATAAAAGTAATATGTGAAGGTTGAAGCTGTAGAGAAAATCAAATCCCCCCCCCCCCCAATAATGCACAAGGAAAGAAATTTTAAAGCTTGATCTGCATCCATTTGGGCTTTGGCCTGAACACTGTGCCTCTTCCACAGTAAGTTGTGTGTTATTTTTGAAAGTAGAAGGGTACATTGCACTTTGGGGAATGGGAGAAATGACATGTAGCTGTAAGTGCACACTGTGAATTGTCACAATCACTTGCAGTCACCACTATAATATTGGAGAACATAAAAAAAACACCTAATGATACAAAGTTGTAAGCAGTAGATACGTAACTTTCAGACCTAGTTTTCACTGAAGCAGAAAACTTTAGTCTGGACAGCAGCACTTTTGATGAAATGTGGGGAATCACATAAATTAATGTTTCTCCATTAAAAAAATGTATGCAGGAAGCTAAACGTTAGGAAGAAGTGTTCTAACTTTCCCTCCGACATGCTACTTTTTTACATGAAGGGTTTTTTGGGGAGCCCCCACCTTCTGTCATGGGAGCCCCCACCTGCAATCTGAAGTGAAATAGCTCACACCAAGTTTACCATTTCAGTGAGCAAAACTCCATGTATTGACTGATTTGCAACATTGCTGAGCCCAGTTCCTTTTTATTTACAGGTGATCACTACATAGATTTAGTTGTACTGAAAATAAACACTGTGCAAGTTACTAAGAATAAAATAAGTTTATTATCTCTTATTTTACATAATTAGACAGGGACATTATTAATTTGGGTTGTCTGCGATAGGATTCTGATAAGAAAGACATATCAAAAATTGCATGCCTTTGCTGCATTGATTGGTATCAGATTTGTAACATATGCACAGTTGGATAAAGAGGAGAGTTCACATACTATAACTAAGACATACAGTACACAACTTTACAGGATAGCACGTCATAACGCTTCAGTTGTACATTGAATTTTAATTGGCGCCGCTACTGAAGCTCAAGAAGCTTGCAAGATCAAGTGAAGGTCAAGTTAGCAATAACCATTGGAACTTTGTGGAAACAGGCAATGTTGTATCAATGTTTCATGGAAAGCCCATGGGTAGAAGCAACAGTTAGTAGTAATAGGGGTGAGTTGTCAGAATCAATCTTGCACCTTGATTAAGACTGACACTTTAATGAGGCAGACCCAGGTTTATATAAAGTGATTTGCCTGTGATGAGTAAGAATTGCCTCCAAATATGTAGGCAGGGAGACTTTTAAAAATTGGCTGAGATTGTCACGTCCCCCCCCCCTCACACTATTGATGTGCCATAAATAACTTGTGCAGATTGTTGAACTAGAAAAAAAGAATCCCAACTAGGAGATTTTGTGGACATTTACCAGAAATGGTAAATCAAGTCCCTAATGCTGGCCTCTAACATCTGCTACAGCTGTGTTATGCAAAATACAGGGGTAGGAGAAGGAGAAGAAGGGGGCTGAAGCCTGAGATAAGGTTGCCAATGAATCTAGAGAACAAGGTCCTGTTCCTTTAATAGAGACTAAAGATGTGGAAATGGGCACCTAAAGCTTCCCATGGCATGGGGGTAAATAACATTGCCTAGTAAATAACAACCCATTAAGCTTCTGTTAGAGTACAGGATACTTTTTTCTTCAGGGAGCTGACAACCCTAGCCTTAGATGGGAGCACAGCCAGCACAAGCACTAGGGTAGGTCCAAAGTGGTCCGCTGAGTACAACACACGGTCCAGAGCAGCATGATGGAATTGTCACCTTTTGTTAAAGTGAGAAAGAGAAGACGTTTTTAAAACGTGGGACATGAAACCCTGTTCTGCAGAGAAGCCAAAGATGGGAAATTGTAGCAACAAAGTTTTCCCCTATCTTGAGCTGAGGTGGCACAGCACAGGTCTTCCTTAGATTGTCCAGTAGCAGCATCTACACAGCTTTACAGTCTAGCAGAGGCTGTCAGCACTGAGAAGCACATGATGGGCCTTGTCACACAACTATACAGCTGTGTCTCATTCCTAACTCACTATCACTTGGGATCACTTTCGGGTGCACAGTGTAGGGCAGGGTGACAAGGGAGCTCCAAGCCTAAATTGTCTGCGGTTTCTCACAACGGTAACACATTTCTATATAGGAAAACATGTTTATAATTGAACCTATTCAGATCCAGAAATGGTGGTGGGTTTTTTTTTTATTACACAATATTGATTTATATAAGATATATCTTGTCTATGAGCTAAATTAGTCATTTCTCACAAAATTGACCCTGTAAGGAAATACTCCAGAAAAGGGATGTTTAAGATCTGATGTGATCCCTGCACCACTGCAAAATGTCCTAACCTGTGGCATCACACTGGCATCATGTGACAATTCAGGCCATCATAATAATGGTTCAGCCATGCACTGCCAGTGATAAACACTGTAACCAGAAGTGGTGCTGCAAGGTTGCTATCTCATACCATAGGGCAGGTCTGAGAGCAACACATTTATCACAAGTTCTAAAGGCATTTTACTCATCACAAATCCAGCTCCATCAGTGCCACGCTGCACACCTGAAATATGGCAGTAAGGTGTTTCTCTGGGATTGCAACTGACACAGAGCATAGCATGATAGACTTGCCTCCTTCACCAAGCATAGGATACTCCTGTAGCTGTGGCAGAGGAAGCCATACTGTACACATCTACTCTACCATAGTTCTTAAAATAACTGTTTTGAAGGTGGTAGCTTCTAAACATGAGTTGTTGTTGTTTTTTAATGCAAGAGGCACACTGTTTCAGGAAAGCTGGAGGAAGGCAAGGAAGCAACCTGAATCCTGCTTTAGAGATACATCCCATTTATGAGGTAATCTGATTCCTCAGACATAATGGGCCGAGCTTTCTTCAGTTTCTGTCTCACTAAGTGCAATCGGCACGCTACCATGAGAAGCAGCAAAGCGGTGATGGCCAACCCTAAAGCCAGCGGGAGAACAGCACCTAGAAAAAGAAGTCAAAGAGTGTCAATATTGGAACTCCTCAAGAAAGCAAGAAATCAAAGCTAACCATGTTAAAACAATAATGGGCTACCCATTCCTCTCCAATATGAAATGTTGCCCCCATACTATACAGTGAATAACAGCAGGTTAACAGAGGAGGATTCTCGCTTTGTGGAAAGTAGTTCCACATTTTGCTGGATGCCTTCCAGGTAGGAAGGCTAGTTTCCATGTTACAAAGTCCACAGGGTGGACTGTGGGGTTGCCAGACTGCCTGGTGAGGGCAGGGGTCTCCTGATTTCCAGCACTCCCCCCCCCCAATCTGCCCCTCTTACTGGCAGGAACCTGAAAATCATTGCGACATGCCTACAAAAACTGGAAGTGATGTGGGCACATTGGGGACGTCAGAGGGTGACACTCTGGTTTTTGCGCAAAACTCTATGATTTGAAGCGACTTCTACCATAGAGTTTTGCCCAAAACCCAAAGCATTACCCCCCGGAATCCCTGACATACCTTCGTCACTTTCTGTTTATGTATGCATGCCGTGATGCTCCTCCCCACTCCCCGAAAGTCCTTCCACTGCTGGCACAACTACTGGACCTGGCAACCCTAGCAGACAGACATTTTCTGGGAGTTTTGTGCAGAGAACGTAGTCCCCAGGCAGGTCTGATTTGGACTGGGACTTCAGTGCATAGGCAGATGGGACTTAAGCCTCCATCCAGTGCCATTTCCCCAGCTTGAAATGGACGGGGGGGGGGGAGCAACCGAGGCAGTTTTTTTAATGGACACACGGGATTCAAGTCATTCTTGTGTCATCTCGTCATCGTTCTTGACAGTTTAAAGCCAATTTAAAAATCTGAACCCGAGCTTTTGTTCCCCTGGAACTTTTAATAAGAACTTGAGTCAGCTGCCGGAAGGACAATTAAAAGAAGATCAAGGAACCGACGGTGAGAAGAGTGAACTGAGTAATCACAGCCATCGGGAAATTAATGTCACTAGCACTTTATTGTGTTACACAGTTTAAATGATTTTAAAATTGTTTTCATCTAAAATTTATATTCATGTTTTATTGTAAATTATGTATTGATTTTATGTAAGCCGCCCTGAGCCAGCCTTGCCTGGAAGGGCGGGGTAGAAATCCAATAAACAAACAAACAAATAAATAAATAAGATAAACTATATCACTCATCTCCACTAGTTAGACCCCATGATTTTAGGAGTAGGGAGATGGGATTTGTTTTTTCAATGGCATGTTTACAGTTTAAAAAAATTAAGTGCTATTTCATTTGTAAGCCCAGCTCTCTGGGGAAAAAAGTAGTTAAAGACACAGCAACACAATTACCTGTTTCTGGAACTGGGTGGCTCTTTGCAGTCTGAGCGCCCTTTAGTATCACAATGTCATTTTCATTCTTAGCATCTGTATCTTTCCCTGAGGTTCTAGAGACTGGAAAAAAAATATTGATTACCTTCGCTCAATAACTTCAAAATAATTTGCACTATAGCAAATCTGTTAATTTTCTTCCTGATTTCAGTAATGAAAGCACACATTAGGTTCAGAGCTGGTTGCTTTTTCAAAAGAGAAACTGGAAGCCAACTGTATTTTAGAAAGGGGTGGTAGTGAAAGAAATGCTGAAATCAGGTTTGTTTATTTCACTGATCTGACCATGACATAGGTAAAGGTAAAGGTTCCCTTGCTCGAAAGCCAGTCGAATCCGACTCTAGGGTTGCAGTGCTCATCTCCGTTTCAAAGCAGAAGAGCCAGCGCTGTCCGAAGACGTTTCCGTGGTCATGTGGCTGGCATGACTTAACACCAAGGTGCACGGAACGCTGTTACCTTCCCACCGAAGGTAACAATTTCTTGCTTTCGAACTGCTAGGTTGGCAGGAGCTGGAACTAGAGACGGGAGCTCACTCCATCATGCGGCAACTCGGGTCTCGAACTGCTGAACTACCGACCTTCCACAGCCTGCAGTTCAGCGTCTTAACCACTTGAGCCACTGCAGCTCCTGACCATGACATAGCACAACGCAATTAGACAACCACAAAGCAAAAACAAAGTTAATGAACAAAACCTGATAACGCTAACATGTAAAGAGCAAAGCTGACAAAACAGGATGATGATCTAGCGGCTGGCTAGAACCAAGCAAGACAGTACCTGTACATTCCTAAATACAGTTATACCCTTTTTTAAGCCCATTTACACATACAAACTTCTCAAAAGCAAAATATGATTGTGTGTTTTGCATATAATTTCTAGCTAAAAGTTAATTTCAATGCAACCCTGGCCTAAGATGCCAACAAAGGCAGGTGTTTTATACCACTGCTTTTAATGCAATATTTGGTACCTTTGTAGAGAGCACTTATGCTCACTGGCAGGCATTTTGGCTGTAAGAAACAGACTGCCATGGCTGTGGGCGTCGACAACTGCTACTGCTGCAGTGTTTGCCAGATAATTTGTTGAGCCAACAAAATGTTGTAAACAAACTGTTACAATGCACTAGAGATCCTAGACAGATCTGAGTGTAAAATTATCACTTTCGGTAGCTAAAATTAAGGGTACATGTGTTCACATTTAGATGGCATGATTATGGGGAAAGCTCCTTGCTTTTCTCTGATGTTGTAAAGAAATGCTTTACATGAGACATTCCTATCAGAAACAAAATAATTATATCCCTGTATATTTATATTTATTTATTTATTTATTTATTTACTAGACTTTTACCCCGCCCTCCCGCCGAAGCGGCTCAGGGCGGCTTACAGTAGTTTAAAAACCAGTATAACAATTAATACAATATCACATCTAAAACAATACGATCAATAATGGATGGGTTAATTTAATAAATGGGTTAATTTGGGCAAATTTCCAATTAGAAGCACCCAGGTTTCCCTTGACATGTATAGTCCGAATGTACACAGCAAAATATTTACTGCTGCGTTACCTCAGAAGCCACTTCATTTCAAGAACTGTGTATTGTCTCGGATGTTGTATGAATGACAGCACAACTACAATATACATGTATAAGCATAAAATAATTCCTTGTGTGCTCCCAGAAAGCTCTATAAAATTGATATAATATTCCTATAAAAATCCACACAAATGGTGAAAAATAACAAAAAAGTACTGCTTCACAAGCAGTCTGTGTTAAGTTCTCAGCCTCTGTATCCACAACTGGTTACTCAAAAGAAAACAAAGTATTAGAGGCTGCTTTAATGCTAAAACTAAGGGTACACTTGACACATGACTACCACCAAAAATGACTTCCCATGTCAAGCTTCCCTTCTCTTCTGCCCCCTCCCCAACACGGGTGATTAACATAAGAACATAAGAGAACATAAGAGACGCCAATGTTGGATCAGGCAAAAGGCCCATCCAGTCCAACACCCTGTGTCACACAGTGGCCAGAAATACCAGGTGCCATCAGGAGGTCCACCAGTGGGGCCAGGACATTGGAAGCCCTCCCACTGTTGCCCCCCCCAAGCACCAAGAAGACAGAGCATCACTTGCCCCAGAGCCCCTATCTATACCTTGTGGCTAATAGCCACTGATGGCCCTCTGCTCCATATGCCTATCTTAATTCCCTTTTGAAGCCGTCCATGCTTGTAGCCGCCACCACTTCCTGTGGCAGTGAATTCCATGTGTTAATCACTCTTTGGGTGAAGAAGTACTTCCTTTTATCCGTTCTAACCCGACCGCTCAGCAGTTTCATGGAGTGCCCACGAGTTCTTGTATTGTGAGAAAGGGAGAAAAGTACCTCTTTCTCTACCTGCCCTTTCCCATGCATAATCTTTGGGTGAAGAAGTACTTCCTTTTATCCGTTCTAACGGATTACTTACCTTGCTCCACCTCATTGTCCACTGGCAGCAGGAACACAACATGGGATGATGTTAGGACATGGGATAAGTTGTGTAACTAGGGATGGGCAGGAACCAGCTTACAAACTAAAGTTCACAATGAATTTTGACCGGTTTGTGCTTTGCAAAGTCAAGTTCACGGCAGGTTGCCTGGCATAAACTTTCAAGCTGCTCGTGGAGGTCTGTGCCGGTTTGGGAACAGAGACATTTCCAGACAGACTGTCTCCACTCAATCAAAATGTTTACATAACTTCAAAGCAAACTTGGAAGGCATGTAGGGGAGCATCCAGTGGAGGTCCTTGGTGACTTTGATGTCTCTAGGTTGCACAGGATCTGTTCTATACACTCTTGCCTCTGCCGTTTTGACAGGCGCTGGTTCAGGAGGTTCAAGAGTGTATTGAATGGATCCTGTACAAGCCAGAGACACTAAACTTGCAGCAGATCTCCCCTGGATGCCCCTCTACATGCCCTCCAAGTTTGGTGTCTCTAGCTTGCACAGGATCCATCCTATACACTCCTGAACCTCATGAACCTGCACCTGTCAAAATGACAGGCGCAGGTTCAGGAGTGTATAGAACGGATCCTGTGCAAGCTAGAGACACCAAACTCACAGGCAACCTGCCCTCCAAGTTAGGTGAAGATTGGATTTACAGGGTCTGATTTATGACCACCCCAAAATAGGTGCCCCCAGGAAAGTACTTTCGGGGGGGCACAATCTTTGGGGGGCTGTAACAGATCCCGTAAACCGAATCCTCACCAAACTTGGAGGGTAGGAAGAGAAGAGTCTGCTGGAGATCCCCTGCAAGTTTGATGTCTCTAGCACACCGGGGGGTGGGGATTCTACCACCTCATGAACCAAACCCATTTCTGAGGCAGCTAAAAGTTTGTGAAGGTCCACGGTTCATGACAGGGCACACCATGAACCAAATTTTTCTGGTTCATGCCCATCCCTATGTGTAACAAGATAGATAGAGATGGGGAACTTGACACATGCCAGCAGCAGCGCACTGAGCATATGATGTAATTTCACCCTCAAACAGATGCACAATGTGTTCCGTAACAACATTTCCCTATTTTTAAACAAATATCTTATAACAACCAAATAGAGAGCCCCGGTTGCGGGCTTGGACAGTGATCGCTGGAGATCAACCCATTCTTCATGAAAATAGGAGTTATAAGTGTGTCTCAGGGATTGTAGATATCCTCTCTATAGACAGGAATGTCCAGGTTTTTCCAGTAGTGAGGCTATGTGTAGTGCATCCACCCCCAAATTTAGCTACTAAACAACTCAGACTTGTTAATATTATCCCTGAATGTCAGAGTCAAGAGGCTTCAGACTTGGTGTACAAGTACTGGATGCGACTCAACCATAAGTTAAGCACATTGGAGGCTTTATTCCAAGCTATTTTCCTTCCGTCAGTAATTCTTCACAGTGCTCTGGTTTCATGATGTAATTGTAGTGGAAGTAAATTTTAATAGATGACTTTTTTTGTTTGTTTGCGAAAAACCTCAGGTGGCCTGCACCCTCAGGTCAGGCAGGCTGCATTTGGCTTGTGGGCCACATGTACGATACACATGCTTTAAGAAGGCCCTGGTCACACGGGCCGGATATCGTGGGGGGGGGGAGGCATGGCTAAATGCCCCGGAGAAAACTAACCCGTGGCTGCCCGAGCACACGTCCGGTCGAGGTCCCATGGTTCGGGGAAAATGCCAATCAGACGGGTATCCTGCAGCGCGGCACAGAAGCCGCGCAGCGCAATCACACTGGCAATCACTCTTTGTGCGCATGCGCTGTTGGGCGCTGTTGCACAACCTGCGGAGACGAACAGCAACGGGCACCGGATGCCACGTAAGTCCACCGGGAATGCGATCAGACACCCGCCCTTGGCCCGTGGTTTCAGGAAACTAGTACCTCGTAGGTACTAGTTTTTAACTCCGCACCTTCGGCGGGGAGCCACGGGTTCACCACGGAAGCACTGCGCTTCCCAGATGTTGGGGTGAGATTGCGCCCAGAAAATCTGCGGGACTCTCGTGCCTCTCCCGCAGCAACTTTGCCGTGTGACCGGGGCCGAAGATGGGTATCTGTGAAAAGAAAGCAATGGAGATGCTGGAAGGACAGAGAGACAGACTCTGCTGGAGCTAGCAGAAACACCATGGGAGGTACAGAATCTCTCTTTCTCTCCTCTCTCTCAACCTGATATGAAGTGATAAATTTGCTGCCCTATAGGAGGGCTCTGTGCCTCCACCTGTGCTCTTTTTAATAAAAAAAAATGCTGTGTCTCCACCTCCAAATGGAACCAGACTGGATAAGTGCCAGTGTCTGCAACTTCTCTCCAGTTGGTAATTTGTTTCACTTATACCCCACCTTTCACCCCAATGAGGTCCCAGGGTAGCTTGCACCATTATTCTCTCCTCCATTTTATCCTCACAAAAGCCCTGTTAGGCTGAAGAGTGTGTGGCTGGGCTAAGGTTACCCAGCAAGCTTCCATGGCAGTGTGGGGATTTGAACCTGGGTCTCCTAGATCCTAGTCTGACACTCTAACCAGTACACTTGCCTGGTTCATTTGCCCCCTCCTCTCAGACTAGAGGGTTT